ATTGCTTTATTCCTTTGATTTTATCACCTGGTATTCGCTGTGCTTGTGAACCAAAAAGCAGCCAGCCCTGACACCTGGAGCACCTCCTCTCCTGTTGTCCCAGCTGGGTGTTCACGCTGCTTTTCCTCACTTCCCCTTCCCCTGTTTGCATTTTTGCCTTTTCTGAATTACTTTTCCATGGAGGAGTCTGTGTGGCTCCACGTGGAGCTGGTGCCTGGCTCGGGGCAGTCCCAGAGCTCTTCTCACAGAGATCTCCCACTGCCAGCACCTCTCCACGAGCACCCAGTGTGTTTAGTATGAACCCAGCAGCGAGATCTGATAGTGAAAGTGGCAGAAGAAAACAATCCTTTCAGCAGTGGCAGTGATTATCAGCAGTGGAAACGCGTGCAGCCCACAGATTCACCTTCATCCGTGTGTTGCGATGTACAGCTGCATACTTGTGTGCCTGTTCCTTTTTCTTTAAGTTGCCATTGCTGCAAACGGCCTGCAGCTGGCCAGCCCGGGCTCCGACGGCGTGCAAGGCCTGCAGACACTAACGATGGCAAACGCTGGCGGTTCCCAGCCCGGGACAACGATCCTGCAGTACGCGCAGACGTCGGATGGCCAGCAGATACTCGTACCCAGCAACCAGGTGGTAGTGCAGAGTAAGTACACCCGCTGGAAACGGGTAGAAATACCGATCCCTGACACGAGCGGAGGTTTCTAATGCTGCCACATTTTTGATGTCCTGTGCTGTTATTGCTACAGCTGCTTCAGGAGACATGCAGACCTACCAGATCCGCACCACGCCAACCACCACGTCCCTGCCTCAGACCGTGGTGATGACCTCTCCTGTCACTCTCACGTCACAGTCAAGCAAGACAGATGATCCGCAGTTGAAACGAGAAATAAGGCTGATGAAGAACAGGTATGTACGTGCACAGGGGCTGCTTTGATTAGTTTATGTGCTGAAATAGATCTTCAGAGGACAAATTAGAGTCCTGTGAGTTCACTGATGGAGCCATCAGTGGAGTGTGGTGCATCCAGCACCTAAAAACATGGGAAATTCTGACCAAAACATGTACATGCTCTGTCTCACACAGTTTGGAGAAAACAAATTGTATTTTCCCTGACTTCCACGTGTGGGCACTGCTGAATTTCCTGCTCTGCACCTATCTGTCCTGTCCATGGGTACTTCTCGGTTTGGTTTGTTCATGCACGCTCCTCTCCTGTTGGTCACTGTCATAAGGTTCCTATAACAGACAAGTCTCGGATCTAAAATCAGCAATGACTCCTGCTTGTCTGTTCCAGAGAGGCTGCTCGAGAGTGCCGCAGAAAGAAGAAAGAGTACGTGAAATGTCTGGAAAATCGAGTTGCAGTCCTGGAAAATCAGAACAAAACTCTAATTGAAGAGCTAAAAACTTTGAAAGATCTTTACTGTCATAAAAGTGTGTAAGAAAAGTAGGTAAAACTTTTGTGGACTGTTGAAATTTCAGAGGAGAAATTTTTTTTATACTGAATTTTTTAAACTAGCTGAAAGGTCAAAAATGAAACTTTTCTACCTAGATTTCACAACTTAAAGACTCTCTAGATTTTATTTACAACACGTTGGTGACAAAGTACAAAAAAAACAAACAAAGGAAACAAGAAAACCTCACCAAAATCCCTGCTGGCACAACTGGAAACTTTCTAAAGTCAAGATTGCATCTACCGTAAAAGGACAGACACGTTTGACGAGGCAGGTGATCAGAATTTCTTTGACAATTTCTGCAAACACCTCCTGTAACGGAGGCGATATTTGGTTACGATTCAAACGTGGATGAAATGGAATCCTTGCCATAGTTGACATTAGTAGTGACATTTAGAACCAGTATATGTTTTGATTTCTTACTCTTTTTCAATCCTTACTCTTTTTTTTTTTTCCTCTCCAGTTATTTGTATGTAAATATTTTTATTTTGACCTGTAAGTTGTCGTTTACAGGTGCAGATGATAAAAAGCTACTACTTTGCTAGAGGTATAAATTATGTTTACTCTTTCTCAGCTGACAGTTTCAAAAGTTGGGGGGATTTCTTTCAATGTTTGCTGTGTTTATCCAATTTTGAAAGGATCTGCGGGAAGCGGTGAGAGGTTTAGTCCTGAAAATGTCTGAGGCACAGGGAATCAATCGGGTGTTGACTTTTCCTAAGAGGATTCAACACATCCAGTTATTTTTAAGTACGGAGCGGTAGAAGGAGTACAGGTGAACAAAAGTTTCGGAAGAATGATCTCAAATAGTTTGTTCTTAGTTGCTGGGCATGATAAACATCTATAATTGCAAAATAAATCGTGTGCTGATTATATATCCAATGAAACACGCATTGCTTATTCTGTCTGGAGATTCTACTGTGCTTTGGAAGGTTTAAACCAAATAGAAGAAGAGCGATAAAATAATACAGAATTGAAGATCTATACCAAAGGGTTAATGAGGTTCTAGCGTATGGTTTCTATGCTGAAAGTAGTGCAAAATTTCCGGACTAATTTTGTAAGGTAGGTGATATTTTGCAAAGTAATGGTTATCTTTGTAAGAAAATATTCTATTGAAAACAGGTAGATGGTTGGTATATTTTGTAGCTAAATTGTGATCTTTGCAAATTCTGAAATTGAGTTTATATACGTATTTTGACAGTTTATATATTTCATTTTAGTAAACAAATGAAATATTTTGTGAACCAGATTTTCGAGCATATATTTTTTATGGATAGTACAAAGTCAAATGAGATCCTCTTTGGCGTAGGAGACATTTGAATTAATTTTGTATGTCTGTAGGCAACTTGCAAAACAAATGGATCTTAAAGAGTATTGGGAAAAAAAAAAGAAGAAAAAAGAAAAAAAAAAAAGATGAGATCAGGGCTTTTTATTCCCCACAGTTGCTGATATCTGCACATTAGATCTGATTGCTATCAGAGATTCTAGTTTGTACCATTTGGATTTGTTTCAGGTAAAATTAAGTGTTTGACGCGATCAGGACTCTTTTGGGTGTGGATTCTCCGTTCTTGGAGACCCTCCAAAGGCGCGGGGTCCTGGGCAGCCTGCGCTAGGGGACCCCGCGTGGGCAGGGGGTGGACAGGGCGACCTCCCCAGGCCCCCTCCGCCCTCCACCCTTTGTGACTCTGTGATTCTGTGACATAGAGCAATGTGTATGCAGTGCTTATTGCATGAGTAATAAATACACTATTTTCCATAGTTAGGATTGAATCCTGCTTCCAGTTATGTCAGCGGGAATTGCACTATGGACTTTGCTATTCAAAAGGTGTTAGAGCTACGTGTGTGTGTTGTGCTAGCTCGGATCTGAATGAAATTAAAGATGTACTCACTCCCTAGATGTGTAATGCTTCTCATATGGTCAGTCAGTACTTTTCTTTTACTCATTTTTGAATTAATGGACTTCTTTAGCAAGCAGAGCTCTTTGCAAATGGTATGAGAAAGACTGCATTCCACAATCACCTTCTTAGTAGGCTATATATATATTTTTTTTTTCCTAAAGTTTCTAAGTATCCGATGGTTGTGGACATGATCCACGATACGTTTCCTTTAGGCCAAACTGGAGTATACAGTTGTGTTGGCGATCATGTCAAAACAGAGCGCGTTTGTCACGCATCAGAAATAATGAGTGAGGCTGGGAAAGCCATTGCAGCAGGGAACTGCTCCAGGAGAGGGGCTCGGTGCTCCTGGCCCTGTCAGAGGAATTTCAGGATAAATGAGCACCTGGGAACACGCTCAGCACCTCAGAGGATCCGGACCTGTTCGCTCTGTGTCCCCCCAGGTGTGTCCGCGCAATCTGGCGTATGTTTAAGAGGGTTTGACCTACAGTAAAACTAATCTGGTGACTCCTCTGTACGGCATTTTGATCCTCACTGTGTGCTGTTGTTCCTTTACCTTCTTTTGTAATACGGAATAATAATTGAAAAAGCTATCACATGTTAAGACTGTAAGAAAATAATAATAATGGTGGCCAATTCTTTCTGTATTCAGCAAGTGAAACCAATGTAGAGCTGCCAGCCATAACGTTAGTCGATTTTTTTTTTATCCTCTTAAAATAGTGTTTTGGAAAGAGCAGCTTATTTTTCATCTTGGAAATATTAAACAGTAACATGAGTTTGCTCTTTACGTAATCACTTATCATGAAGTACTTATTTTGGATTTACTTCAAGATCTAGATTGTAAGAGAATAAAAGCTACATCCTGAGAGTAAGAGATAAGAGTACCTAATGCTGTTCTGCTGGTTATTTCCAAACAGAAGTACATGCTTTATATGAACTGTAAATATTTGTCAAAACAATTAGATGGTTGCAAATTTTGACCTTGGTAAATAAAGTCGCCAAAATACAATGCTGATGTTCCTCATTTCTTTTTAATGACCATAGCGCTGCGGTGGTTCTGACCAAACGTGCACGTGTGGTGTGGTGTCGGGTCTTTTACAGCGGCCAAGAATAAATACTCAGTGTATGAGACAGCACCCAGAGATCTTGTATGGGATGTGTCCTTTCAGCAGTCAGAGCACCAAGTTGTTTGGGCATAAATTGGAGTCATCGCTGAAAAGAATGAGCGGAGAAAACATTTTCTGTAGGTTTTTTTCTGTTTTCAGAAAAGTCTTCAGTGAACTGAAACCACTTCGTGCTCTGCTCGCATTCACCCAGCAGAGGGAGCGTCTCTGCCATCTACAAGATCGTGGCTGTATTATTTAGTACCGAAGCTTCTCATAGCTGGGAAAGCACAGAAATAGGGTAGGAAAACAGTATTTTCAGTTGGTCACGTTCCTCTAGTGACTGTCATTATTAGGGTCAAGGCTGTTACTTCCTCTATGGATAGGATGGATATCAAAAGGCAGAAAGCAAAGATCATACAGTTGTAAACATGACTTCTAAAAACTAAGTGTGTGTGCTTTGGCTCTTAGATTTATTCCAAAACAGGCATTAGCTCTCTTTCCAAAGTCTTAGCAGGCAGGCCAAGCTTCTGGGTGGTGACACCATGGTTTGTCCCTTCAGAAAGTCCACACAAGTACTACAGCCATCGCAGTGAGAGCGGTGGTGAGCGCAGTGCTTATGGGAGTCACAGCCTTGTTACCCATCAGCTCAGAATGGATCCATCCCACGTACGGAGACAAACGGACATAGATCCCAGGAAATTTTGGTCGGCCACAGCCAAATCCAAAACTAGAAATCCCTATGAGATAGTATTTGTTGGTGCCACGGTGATAGCACACTAAAGGTCCACCGCTGTCTCCCTATAAATAAACAGCATAAAAAAAACCAGTAACATATATTCCCTTCCAGATCAAATTTGGTGACACTACCTTGGCCTCAGTGTCTTTAACTAAAGTTGTGTTGTTTTTCTTCCTGCACCTTTTCATTCTCAGGCTTGTCTCCCTAAACTTCCTCACTGTTCAGTCAATATGAGAATATATTGCCCACACAGCGTGCAAGTACCCTCAATCTTTGCCTACTTTAAGAAACACTGCTGAGGAAAGCAGCGGTTATCAAAGCACTTCTGAACACGTTACAGGATTTAATTATAAATCTCTCCATATCACAACTGGTGCCCCAGCTTTTGCACAGCAGTGCTTTTGGCCTGAGAAATGTCTTCTCTGAGAAAGAGAAGCATTTAAATCAAAATCTTGCTGTATCACTGACCCGTATCACTGACCCGTATCACTGACCCGTATCACTTCCCAATGCCACTGCTTTATTTCAGAGGCACAAAACAGGCAAGATGCCACGTGGGCACAGTGATAGGTGTGTCTACCAATACCTATGTTTGTGTAATGTTGTGTCATTTATTGACATCTTTGTGGCAAGCATTGTATAGATACGTTTGAGGTCTTCATCCTTTCACTTATTCTCATCTTTCCAAGTATCCCTGAATTCTTTGTGTGTGTTTTTCAGATGTGTTTTCTTTGAAATCACCGTCTCGCCTCTCTATGCTGCTGCTTGTGCAGTTTCACATATTTTCTGTTAAGTATTGGTGTCATTTGAATGAATTACGCTGCAAATCGGGGTCACCGTGGTGGCAGGTGGGGCACGGTGTTCACTCTTACCTGGCAGGTATCGATGCCTCCTGACATAGAGCCAGCACAAATCATTTTCTCGTTAATCAGACCCGCGTACGCATCTGAAGCGTTACAGACGCTAGAAGGAATGATATCCACTTGTGCTTCTTTCAACACGGCCGAAACTTTACCTGTAATGGAAAACAGTTCCATTCCCTCAGTTCAAGAAGGACAGGAACTGCTGGAGAGAGTCCAGCGTAGGGCTACAACGATGATCAAGGGAGTGGAGCATCTCCCTTCTGAGGAGCGGCTGAGGGAGCTGGGGCTCTTTAGTTTGCAGAAGAGGAGACTGAGGGGAGACCTCATTCATGGTTATAAATATTTAAAGGGTGAGTGTCACGAGGATGGAGCCAGGCTCTTCTCGGTGACAAACAATGATAGGACAAGGGGTAACGGACACAAACTGGAACACAGGAGGTTCCACTTCAATTTGAGAAGAAACTTCTTCTCAGTGAGGGTGACAGAGCCCTGGCCCAGGCTGCCCAGAGAGGTTGTGGAGTCTCCTTCTCTGCAGACATTCAAACCCCGCCTGGACGCCTTCCTGTGTAACCTCATCTGGGTGTTCCTGCTCCGGCAGGGGGATTGGACTGGATGAGCTTTGGAGGTCCCTTCCAATCCCTAACGGTCTGGGATTCTGTGACAGCATAGAGAAAGATGAAATATTGCTGCTGGTGTGTGCAGCAGTTCTTAGTGTGCTCTTTTTTCTGTTTAGATAGCTTCAGCACGTGTCTGTACGTGTTTAGACACAGAGATGTGCCTGCTTTGATGGATTTAAACTTAAATGGGTTAAGGCTTTGCAGACTGGGGATTTGATGTAGTTTTTGCAATTCTTATTCTGAAGAAACACTGATGATAAATAACAATACTGCTTCCTAGCCTTGCTCCGAATGGCAGAGGTGACTGCAAGAAGCTTGTGTGATCCCCAGCTGTCCTTGAAATTTCCACCCAGGACAGATGCACGCCACCAGCTGACTCCACAGCAAGTACAGAGCGAATTTGAGGGATCATAAAATACACAGGGACCCTTACGTTCACAATGCACAGAATTGTTTTTCAATAAGAAGTTATTTCTAGCAGACAGCACTGAGTAGCTGTACCATGAATCTGAAAGCTGGGCTAGTTTATTTTCCTTTTTCTTCGTGTTATACTTGGAAGAAAGGCTTGAAAAATCATGGCTTTGCTTACGTCTGTGTAGATCTAATCTGCTTGCAGTGGAAAATACACTGAAAGCAGATACTTGGTTACAGAAGGATTTAATGATGTTGTGCGATGAGACTGTAACCAGCACAAATTCAGTTCTCAGTGAGCTTAAGGGACTCAAGGCCAATATTTAATTGCTTGAAAGAGTCCAGCACAGAGCTACAAAGATGACTGAGGGAGTGGAGCATCTCCTGCTGAGGAGCGGCTGAGGGAGCTGGGGCTCTTGAGCTTGGAGCAGAGGAGACCAGGGGTGCCCTCATCCATGGGGATCAATGTGGAAAGGGCAGTGTCAGGAGGAAGGAGCCAGGCTCTGCTCTGGGATGTCCAATGCCAGGACAAGGGGCAATGGTCCCAAGCTGGAGCACAGGAGGTTCATGTGAACATGAGGCCAAACTTTGTGAGTGTGAGGGTCCAGAGCATGGCCCAGGCTGCCCAGAGAGGTTGTGGAGTCTCCTTGTGTGGAGACACCCAAAGCCCTGGCCGTGTTCCTGTGTGACTGCTCTGGTGATCCTGCTCTGGGGGGGTTGCACTGGGGGAGCTTTCCAGGTCCCTTCCAACTCCTCATACTCTGTGATTCTGTGATTTGTTACGTAGTTTATAGCGTGATAACAGCACAAGCACATTTTTACCTTTTTCTGCTGTACGTCCCCAGCCACTAACAAAGCATTCGGTCTCATTGTCAATGTAGGGGTGAAGGTGTAAGCAGACAGGCTGAATGTAGTCGCTGTAGCGTACTGCGGAATAGAGCTGAAATAACGCAATATCATTTTCAAAGGTTTCTGTCTTGAATTCTGGGTGCACGATGATGCTTCTTATACGTCTTTTTGCTGTGTGTTGCCCATGTTTCCAAAGGTTATGGATGCCCAGAACAGCTCTCCATTTATTTGGGTCCCTAAGAGAGAATTCATGTGTTTTTTACAGTTACGTTGAAGTAAATACCTTTCTTGATGGCATTGTTTTAACTGATTGTTTTACTGTTGGCTTATGCACCTTTAGAAAGACACATTGAAAATTCTGCAGTAAATATTTTCTGGAACAGATTTGGCTAATTACCCTTGTGTTCTGAACTCTCAGTTTGCCCAGTGCTGGTTATGGCTGTTAAGGTGAATTCAGATTAATGATTTAAGCTGATACTCAGATTTTGTTTCCCACCCCAGCAGAGGCCACCTGGAAGATATTTTTTTGAAACATAAAAACATGGATTTATTTTGCAGAAAAGAAATAGGCTTATACCTACAATGCTTCTAATTGTACCTAGATTTGGGAAATCCATTAAGTAGAAGTAACAAGTAATGAATACCAACTTAATATTACATTTAGAAACAGGGCTGGAGTCATTCAGACCTAATTTCTATTAAAGTATGTTGAGAAAAAAAATCTTTACTGATATTAAGTGGGAATTGAATTGGGCCTGTGACAAGCAAAGGGCAGGCAATAAAATTCAGATTAACCTCCACAATTCTCCAGAGCGCCAGATAAAAATGAAATTATTTGTGATATTATGTCTATCTAAATTAATGTTTGTAGAAGCGCATTTAAAGAAACAAGGAGCTCAGAGCCACAACCAGTCCCGCTGTGGGGGTGACTGGTAAACAGTTTGGGTCTGCACAGGGGTTCTGCACTGAGAGCTGGGCCCATGTAGGTCCCATGATTTGCCTTTTGTCCAGAGATACCACAGGAGATGCTTTGCTGATTTACTTTTTGCCTTTTACCGTGCCCTCCTTATACTTAAGAGCCATAAGCCTGAATACATACTTCCTTCCTGTAACGCAGTGGCCAGCGGTAAGTACTGAGTTGTTACTAAGTAAAACTCCACCACAGATGTGTGTAAACGATGCACAGCCTTGGTAAACCTGGAGGCTGACAGCCCATGGCCACGCTCCCACCAGGGCGTCCTGGCCACCTACGATCCGGGATCCCGAGATGCTGCCAAAGAGCGGCCGTTGTCCACACTCTGCAAAACAGAAGAGCCTGTTATATCCTTCCAACTGAAAAAACCCTGAGCTTTTGGTGCACTAGCAGCATTTTGGGGTTTGGTCTTTTGTGTGTTTTGGTTTTTTGGTGGTTTTTTTAATCTGCTTTTGATGTTTTCTTCTTCTGGAGATCCCAGGACTGTTTTTGTAGGCTGTATGAAATGTGTGTATTTTTTTCTAGTTACATGCATATTTTTTGTGTATTGATTTACTGTGTTCATTGAAGGCAAGCAAGTTCCAGTCCCTGCTGCTTTGTGAATTCATCCCATTTAGGTGTAAATGAAGTTTTCCCGTGTGTCTGTGGGGAACCGTGAGCCACCGCCCC